ATGTTGCACAGTCTCCATAGTTGTTCAATTTTAATCTTTCCAAGTTATTTCTACATACTATCTGCAATGCCGTTGATTCTTTCAAATATAAATTATCAAATTTCTTTATCATCTCATACGCCGTAGTTTTTTCGTCGATGTACTCCATCTGTCGATCCGATATTGCACCGCATATATAATTCATTGCTTTTACATCATCGTCATCCCAATTTGTATCATCATTTTCATTTTTCGGTCTGGTTACCACAACATCACACTTCTTCATTTTCAAAAATAGCATAAGACGTTTTTTCCACATTTTATAATTCTCCCCATCGAATATAGGTATTCTAAAATCACTACTACCTGCCATCATGTGTCACACTTTTTTTTTCAAACTGCACCAAACTTTTTCTGTTGTAAAAGGTACGACTTTCCAACCACGGACCTCTGCTACCATGTTAAGGTGTGGATTTGGAAAATAAATAGTCGTACTTTACTACTATTATAAAAGGCTTTATTTCCTATAACATACATACTAATTAACTAACCTAACTTAAGCCACCATACTTCTTACTACCACCTACAACTACATGATACTCATTGACATTACTATTATTGTCTGTCATGTCAACCCATGACACTATGGGTGCGTTCCGCTTACTCTTACACCAATATATCTGTGTATACAATATAAATGTATTACATTCTCAACAATAAGAATTGGCGCATAGATTTTAAAGTTATTACATATTGTAGTATTGATTTATATGTGATTCATCCTGGGTCAAATGACCCGTTAAAAAGTCCCATGGGCTTGTAGTCTATTACTGGCAATAGAGAAAGAAATCTGATACTTCTATGTTGAACTAGATTTTTATATCCTACATCTACATATTCTCAGAATTTCTTCAACTGCCTCGAACTGTGTATATGTGAAAATGTTTATATATTTTGACAACTAGTGTCTTAATTTCAATTAACAAACCATCTACAGTATTTTGAAGTGCTCCACACACGTGTATAATATGTGCGCCAAATCCAATTCCTACGATATCTAACACGAGTTCTTGTTTGAGCCTGCTGTAAACATCCTCTACTGTGGTCCTATGTCCTCTTCTGTGTACACCTCCAAAATCTGTATTACGATTGTCGTCACAAAATGCAGTACTTCTTTTACAATGTCATGACGACGTTATGTTGAAATCATATTTTCAGTCAAAATTTCCAATGTTTGACCCTGAGATTCAGTAGTTTCAGATGTATACCTTCCAATGGTAAAAAGTATCTAACAATAATAGGTGTCAGTTGTATATGTTTTCTATTTGAAATGTTATTGGTAACACTTAAAAAAACCCTTTTGTAATTCGATGTGTAATGACACAGACAAATGACAATGTTGACAATGACAATGTGTCATTTGTCAGACAGTTGTCAGAAAAAATTTTATTCAAAGATTATTGATATCAATTACGACGTACAATCAGAACTTTTACCATGCATTGCTGTCAGATTAGTGAATGTGGCCTCTTATATACAATAATATATATATATATATATATATATATATATATATATATATATATATATATATATATATATATATATAGTTATACATTAGTGACCTATTTTTATAAATCTAATTTATTAACTTTATTTATTATAAAATATTCTAACACTTAGTTTATTAGAGTCTTTATTTAATTTATATATAGTCTTACACTAATTTATTTTACACTATTCTAATTTATATACTACATTTATTTCCCGCGTTACAATTCCAACTTGACTCGATACAATTATTCTTTTTAGACTAACTGTTTACAATAAAAATTTCCTCTATATATATTTAATAACAGTTATTCTGGAGTTCCCTAGAATTCGGCCGGTGACCCTTGCTGAACGTTCTCGAACGCCATGGAACCCAGACAGGTTTTATCGGAGGGGACCCTACTAAAAAATACTTGTTAGAAAAATATGTTTACAGTTTAGGTATGAGTCATATTTATCGTAACACTAGCCATGTTTTGCACACTTCAAATTATCTTTAATATCTGTTCGCCCACTGTACTCAATTAAAAACTCTAAAAAACATTTAAGTACGTCATTTCACTCGGCTATCATCACTGCACAGCTTTTTCATAAAAGAATAATCTTTTTGCAGTTCGCTTGTACATTTACAATTTATTTTCGGCATTTTAAGTCAAATACAGAAATAAAAATAAAAAAAAGAGCGTGGCACTTAGTGAGTGTCGAGAGAGATGAAACCTTCTTATAGTGTGTTATTAATATATGGAGGTTAATGAAATATTATGTCTACTTATTACTGAATTATAAATATTTTTTATGAAAATACTGCACATTAAGTACTTTGAAATTTAAAAAATTTGAATTTTTTCTTTAAAAATGTTGTTTAATGATTTCAGCAATGTTCAAATTTTTTTAAATATAATAGGTACTATATAATTTATTCCTCATATACATTTTCATCATTATCTTGTATTTATGCTTCATTATTTCATTTTGATTATCATTATATTCTACAAATAATCATGAATAATTTTAGGGTATATTAATTAATTTGCATTAAAAACTTTCCATTTGTAAAAACTTTGTAAAATCTATAAACTCTATAAAATTTATAAAATAAACTTTTATTTATTTTAATTAATTTTATTTATTTATATTTTTATTTTATTTAATTTGTGTATAATTGTATTAAATTTGTTTTATTTTATTTCATACAAATATATTAAAATTAGGCAAATCGATCCAGTCGTTGTCGAATTGTTATACAAAATGTATTATAAAAGTATAATAAGTGTATTATGTATATTACGGTGTACCGCAAGGTTACCGTCTCATTTTTCGAGTCGCGCTAAAAATGATTTCGGGCCCGTGAGAAACATCATACCGATCGATAAGAAGTATTCTATAAAAAAAAATAGATTAAGCGTTGTCCCCTCACCGTTCACCAAAAAACGAAACTTAATCGCACTGCAAGTGATTAGGGTAAACTGAGCTATGTACTACGCTAAGAGCGAGTGAGAGCGAAGCAAAAGCAATAGAGAAACAAGGTACGGCGTTGGGTTCGGGCTGGGTGCGCGAGTACCTCTCATTTTACAACGGGTTTGCACTAACGATCAGTGACCACTACTAAATTTGTGGTTTTCGGTTTGTACAAACGTGGCAAAATACCAAATCTGGCGGGATGCCGGGACCTATATCTAAAACCGGGACGTATGGTAAGCCTGCCTAATATACTCATTCTTAATTTTGTCTTTTCCTTATCGCTCCACTCATCTATCCAAGCATTCTCATTTCCGCCACATGCATTCGTTGTCCCTCTTTCTTTTTTTTACTTCTCCTCTTGTCCTATTCTTTCACAACATTTTTATATCCAGATATTTATTTTAGAAGAGGAAGGAACGCAATTCATCGAAATTTGATACAGTTAGTCACTTTTTCACATTATATAGATAGACGCACATTATACTGATCTGAGTAGTCTCCTTGACGCGTGATTTTTACCTTTGATTAATATAGATTTTAAAATTCTTAATTTTCTGATGCAGATTGTTTTATTTCTACTAAAAAATGTGTATACTTTTATGGTTACTCTAGTCGCAAAATCTGAGTTCAAATAAATAAATGGATAGGAAATGAGAAAGGTCTGGTGGTGCACATACATTTTGCAAAGTTTGATACCATTAGTAAGCTTTCTCCTGTCTGGACCTGTTATTTCAGGCCACCTGTGCGAACATATACATTCGGCCACCTGTGCAAACACCATCTGCAATTCAGCGAAGTTTGTTACCATTAGTATGCTTTTTCCTCTCTAAACCTGTTATTTCATGCAACCTGTGCGAACACCTCAGCTACTCAGAACAATTCAGCTACATTTGACACAATTAGTCATTTTTCTGTCCAGACCTGTTATTTCAGACCACCTGCACCTGTGTGAACACCTGCATTCGGACACCTGTGCAAACACCTGCAATTCAGCGAAATTTGTTAACATTACTAGGTTTTTCTCCATTGACCTGTTATTTCAGGCCACCTGTGCGAACACCTGCAACCGGTTACTTGTAATTCAATGAAATTTGATACAGATCATTTTTTTCGTATCTAGACATGTTATCTTAGGGAATCTATGCGAACACCTGCATCTAGCCACCTGTGCAAATACCTGAACCCATTAATGTTTACTTGTCTAAACTTGTTTACACATGGGAAACCTTGTCAGATTTTTCTCACTACTGCATCCGGCCATTAATGAGAAACCAAATTAGAGTAGAGGACGATGTTGAAGCAGTAAAAGCTTCATAAATCCAGTCGAATCCGAGTCGAACTAGAAAAGCAGCATAGATTAAAAAATACGCTTTGCTGCTCTTGGGACCATCATTGTTGCCTATTTTCGCTGACGCACGTATTCCATTCCAAAACCGTACACCTGAAGTTGAAGATTAAAATCTACAACACCATAATTAGTCCTTATAGTATGTTATGGATGTGAGACATGGGTGACAATAGAAAATACAAAAATAAAGTTAAAAGCTTTTGAAAAAATTCTAAGGAAGATCTTGGAAAAGATTCCAAGACCGATTAAGGAAAATGGGATAGGTATAGAGATCCAAATACATCCATGAACATGTACCAAGTTAAAGAAACGCCCATCTTAGAAACTTAAAGTTCACAAAAAAGATGGAAAAATGAAATGGCTGCAAATGTTCAAAATCTGATGGGTACTTGGAAGGAGCAGTCGCGTGACCGGAAATTTTAAATGCAGAGCATACGATGGTTAAAACTGTTGGAAGCTTCTGACCTTATTAGAATCATATTATAATTCATATGTTTGGCTATCATAGGCATTTTGTAGTAGGTTTCACATTACAAATTTTAAATTTTAATCTCTAATAAGATGGTAAAATAATCGATTTAATTTGACAATTAAACTCTTGGAAGATTGGAGAATGTAGGACATATTTTTGAACAATATAATATTTTTTTTTCTGTTTTAGGAGAGTCAAATACGTTTCATGAATTCTGAAGCAGATGAGAATCTTAAAAAGTATTTAGGACGTACTAAACCTAGATCTCATGAAATTTTATGTGAAGATTCAGGTCAAGAACCTGAAGAGATTGTAGAAAAATTGTCATTAGAAGACAGCAGAATTGATAATATTAAAAACACGAATGAAAAACAAAAAGATAATCAAGAATTGGAAAAATGGTTAGATGATTTTTTAGATGAATGATATATCTTAAGTGTTTATCGATTTTTATTAAATTAAATTTGTTATATAAGTAAATAAAGTGTATTTGAACAAAATTTCGGTATATTTTTATTTAAGCTGCGTAATGTGTACGTAAACTACATTCATAGATTTAATTATACATATTTAATTATGATAACACTTGGAAACTCAACTGCTTCTTTCTTGTGCAATCTCCATTCAATTCTCCACGCCTGTAGCTTTAAGATCTGCTGTATTATCTCACCACCGGAGTCAGGATCGTCTATGTGGTCTTCTTCCAGTTGAGACTTCTTCCGATACCAAGCTTACTACTCTTTCGTCAGAATCTCTTCTGAGGTGATCCTTCAATACTAAGTCGTTTTTTCGATTCCTGCACTTCTGAGTATGTATTCCAGAGATATATTGAAGAGTTGTAGTTAGAGTGCACCTCCCAGTTTTAATCCATTGTTTATTTCAAATGTCTGCAAACATTGTTGTACAACTCCCACGTTACATCATAGCCCGTCTATACACATCTGTATCAAACTGACTAGTTTTTTGGAAAGTCAAGTTCTTGCTTATCTGTCCAAACTCACCCTGCATATCAAATGTCTGTTTAAAATTTATGAACATCTGATAAAACTCCCAACATTTTTCAATTATATGTTTTATAGTGAATATAGGACATTCATTTTTATCTTTTTTTACTAACTTAAAACCATCCCAGTGTGTAATAAAGAAGGAAAGACAAAAGCTCGTGGAATCATTGAACATTGTATACCAACATACGGACTCATGAAACATATTAGGTCAGATCGACGCACGAAATACAAAAGCTAAACAATGAATGAATTAAGAAAATGCTGAAAATCAAACGGAAATTTTCAACGGCATACCACTCCTAGTTGATGCCATACAAAGGCAAAGAAAATTGGGAATTGTTGTAGAAACTTAACTGCTACAACACCATTCTGAACGCATATCATGGTTACACCATGGTACATACAACTTTCGAATTGCTGTATGGTGGTAGAGTAAATCTATCGGAAGATCTTATAAAAGAAATACAACCATGTTACAACATAGAGCCTATTACTATAATGAGCTGTGATATAAATTACAATTAGCAGACGACAGGGCAAATGCATTATTAATAAAACACAAAAAGGGAAGACAAGATACAAAAAAGCAAAAGTGACACCTCAATACTTTAAATTAGGTGACCTAGTTTTGGTCAAAAGGGAAGAAAATAATAAGTTTGATAGTCGATCTAAGTTAAATAAAGAAAAAATTAAGGAGGTACAAAAAAATAGGACATACGTTTACAATCAGTAGACATGAGGGCAATAAGTGAAATAAAAAGACAATTAGTGCTTTACGAATGAGAGTAACATAATTGTTGATAGCTTTTTCCAAAAATGTTGCATCCTACAGTCTGCACTCAACAAAAATTATCCCTACTTTCGTTGGTGGTACCTGAATTATTCATTTTGATATAGTAACCTGGTAAAAAATTGACTATAATTGACACGACACTTAGAACATTTTATTCTATAGTAAGACTTTATACATAATTTGCATCTGTATGTGACACCGAAGGAGCTTCCCCGAGTACTGCTTTTTTGCCATTCATCATAAGCGATAAAGCAGTCGATGTCCCTGGAAACGTTATAAAAATAACGGCCAATCCTTTCAACACCAAACGTGAACAACAAAGAAAGAGCTCAAGATGAACAATCCTCATCAAATACGGTTCTTTTCAGAGCCATTTCTGGTAATAATGTCGAGGAAATTACTGATGACAAGGAAGTTATACTTTCGCACATGTGTAACAATTTTAAATGTGACAACTTGTGTGTCCAGGAAGCAGAGACGACCAAACATTGATGGGATGAACCGTACCATTGAGATCCCCCAAAAAAGACACGACAGAGCTATGTTCACAAGAATCGGTCTAACTGTCAAAAACAACCGACATCACAAACCAGGATGGTGCAGAAATCCTCTCGAACTCGATAATTGCACAGTAACTTCTGTGTATAAGCCTCGAGGAACGAAATTTGTATTTTACCATCCTAAAAACTTCCAATCCGCCAGTCCGAACTTAGTCGTAGGTGACTTCAACTGTCATCACATAAATATGGGAATATGCAGAAAAATTGCAATTAGGGACAGACCATCGAAGAATGGACAGAACTTAACGGTCTAACTCTGATCCATGATCCGAAACTGCCAAAATCATTCTATCCCAAAAACACAGCACCGTCCAGTTGGTCTGAACATACACGCAATAGTTAAAACGTCAGAAATCCCGTTTCGACGCAGGTTCGATTAAAAAAAACAAATGGGATAGATACGCTACCGAGATAGACCGCGCAATGGGAAACCTCGAAGTTACCCCAGAAAATAATGATGCTTTCATCGAAATAGTTCGAAAATCATCTGAAAGGAACGTTCCTAGAAGCTGTAGACAACAATACGTCCCAAGCCTTACCGGCGAAGGACGCGACCTATTAAGTAAATATCAGAGACTGTTCGAAACCAACCCCTTTAGTGAGGAAACCATAGAATGTGGAAAAGAATTTATGCAGATCATAAGTGAGGGGAGGGATCGAAAGTGAATATAGACGTTGGAGAAGATGGATATGACACATAGCAATAAGATCGCGTGGAGTCTTGTCAAAAAATAAACTGTGATAAACATGCTGTGAAAACTTCTAGTCAAGTTACACCAGACCAAATCTTCCATCAAAGAACAAAACATACTGCCGTGCTGACAACTACCACCCAAAGTGTACTTGCTTGCCCCTTCACATTGAAAGAACTAAACGTTGGTATCGGATACACGAAGAACGGCAAGGCAGCGGACGAGGATGACCTATGTACGGAGGAAATAAAAAGTTTGGCACAGACACGAAAAGGCGTTGTCTTTGCTAGAACTGTTTAACCGATGTATATCTTCACTCCAAAAACCCAAAATCGAGAAAAACAAAAGTTACTGCCCTGCTGAAACCTGGAAAACCTGCCGATGTTGCCAGTAGTTACAGGCCAATCTCTTTATTATGCCATCTGTACAAACTTAACGAAATAATTCTACTAGAGAGGGTAAAATCAATTCTAGAGCCTCGTTTGATTCCCAAACAGGCTTGAGTTCAGACCGGTAAAGAACTATTAGCCACGTCCCACATCTCACTGAACATATAGAACAGGGAACAGGGCTACCAAGGCAAACTAATTACAGGTGTGGCGTTTGTAGACCTAATGTTGACACTATAAATCATAGAATACTCCTTGAAAAGGTCAGAGCATTAACAGGAGATAAAAAGTTCACAAGCGTCGTAAAATCATTGCTCGAAAACATGAGATTCTATGTCTCCTTTGAGGGGAAGAAAAACCGCTGGTGTACCCAGAAAATGGCTTATCGCAAAGTGGGGCACTATCACCCATGCTTTTAACGTTTACACTAACCACCAACCAATCATTAAAACTGCCGAGCACTTCCTGTATGCTGACGACTTTGTTTCGGCCGTACAGAACAGAACCTTTTAAGGGGTCAACACCAGGCTCAAGGAAACACTTAGACCTAGAAATTTACTATGACAGTAACTCGCTAAAGCCTAACCCCACCAAAACCAAAGTCTGCTTTTTTCCATTTAAGATCAAGAGCGGCAAAAAAGAAGCTGAAGATAAGATGGAACGGACATCTGGAACATGCGGAGAATCCGATATAAGTAAGAGTAAAGCTAGACAGAATACTCACATATAAAGCACACTGCCAAAATACCGCTCTGAAGGTAGTATCCCGTAACAATGTAATTCGCAAACAAAGCTACTCTAAATAGGCGCCGTCCTCCTAACTACATCAATGGATCTCAGATTCTCCACGGGCGAGTGTGCATGCCCTGTCTGGGATAGATCGGCACACGCTAAAAAAGTGGACGTGGCCTCAGGGTGCCTAAAAGCAACGCCTCTAGAGAAACTATATCAGTGTGCGGGAATCGACCGACCGGACCTGCGAAGATTAACTACGTAGGATGAACACATGTTTAACTTGAAATTTGAATTGAAGAAGGGTGATGTGTTGTACTCGTTTTTGTTTGCAGTGTCTTAAATATTATTCTCAAATATAATATTTTTGGCTTGATTTTGATTATGTGTCATGCATGACCAAAAGCAGGTCATGCAAATCAATACCCCCCATCGAAATGTTATATTCTTTCAATTGGCAATTGATGGCAGTTCGATTTCTATACAGGTTTTTCCCCTGTTGCACCAGCTCTTCACTTTATCAAGAGGATATTGTCCTATATTAGTTTAATGTTAATGTGACAGACCTATTCTCATACCATTTGAGAGATGCAATGTTTTTTTGCTGACTATTTTTACAGCAGACGATCCAAGACCTTTCGTCATTAGAACTTTGTCTTCTAAAAAACTACAATCTACCAGCCGTCCCCTTCTGACAGTTCCCGCGGCAAAGACACCCCTTTCTATCAAAGTAACAAGTAGATTATAAGATGTGAACAAATTACACAGATATGAACAGATAAAATAAAATAGAAGAATGTACGTGTTTGAAATTTTAATTTGATATTAAGATATTGTGAACTATCTTCGCTCTGATGTTAACTGTATGTCATTTTTAATAAAATACTATAAGATAAATTAATGAAAATACTTACAGATCAGTACAGTTCTTATCGATAAGAAACCAGTTCACAAAAGGTTCGTGGTTAGATGAATCCATATGTTGTGGAATACTATTTTAGATTTTCCATGTCGGTCCTTTCATCGTCTGTTTTGCCTTGTAATTTATAGAAGGCATAGATTTAAGCAAAAATCTGAAATTTGGTTTCGAAAACCAAGAAATCTTCGAATTTTTACTTTTTGGTTTTAATATTACCTTTTCCAGCTCGTTGGAAGAAGGCAAAACAAAACAGGTGGGAACCATTGAGGAACCAAAGTCTGCAACTACTACATCCAAATAGCAGGAGACTAAAAAGCAATCTATGCAGGTGGAAAAAATTACAAAAGGCCCCGTTAGAGGCCCCAAAAATGAATAAACTGCAAATTCAAGATCATACAGATCAATTTGC